TACAGACAACATGCCGAACGGTTGGTTGGTAGCAGTAGAGTTTTGGTGCGAGTAGGTTGAGTGTGAGTAGCTTTGGTTGATATTAGGGTCAAGATAGTATTTGTTCGAGTAGTTGGGGTCTAGATACTGCTCTTGCCCTGGATGTTCGTTCGGGTAGTTGAGGTCTAGATACTGCTCTTGGCCTGGATGTACAGCAGACATGAAATTGGTGGCGCCTCCGGAATACTGAGATTCCTCCCTGAAATCAGTTGCCCCTCCGGAATACTCAGGTTCGTTGATCATGTTTGAGGTGCGGAAGCTGAACGTGGGCGGAGGTAACATCTTGGGTGGTGGCGAGTCCGGAACTGTGATGGAATGGAAAGTCATGGAAGGTCAGGATAGATCTAATAATGTATCATCATGTCAAACAACTACCTACATGTCAGCTCAGTTATGGTCAGTGGGGATTGATTAGAAGATGAATCTGGAGCACTAGGCGAGTTTGTTTTGGAGCTTGCAAAGGCCTTTGGTGGTTGATTTGTTTGTTTGACGGTCTTCCGAGAAGATTCAGAAAGAGCTGAGTTAGAGTTTTTAGACAGAGCATGTGATTGATTGTTATTTGACTGTGTCGGCCGGAGTCTGGAGGTGGATGGTTGAGGTCTGGAGGTGGATGGTCAAGGTCTGGAGGTAAACCTGGATGAGCTAATGGAGAAGCCAGGCGGCGATACGGGCCCGTCTTCCTTTGGCTCAAGCGTTTGGCCCGCCCAACTAATTAGAGCCCGTGCACGCAATTCATCCAGGTAGCTCCGGGGGCGGACCGCTTGTGTCCGCCGGAAGCCCTCACCCGGTGACAATTCTTTTATTCTGGCCATGCAGGAAACCGTGATGCAGGACGGTCTTAGTGGACCAATTGGCCAGGGGGAATGAGAAGAGGGATTGTTGGGGTAGGTAACAAAGAGGGGCAATGTGTCCCTTTATATACTCCTAGTCACCATAATTGTTATCCTTCTTCATCCAGAAACCGGTGTCCGATCATTGGCCGGTGTCCGATCATCGGGGTGTATATCCTCACCATACTTGCTGCTGCCCCATATAGCCCTCACTTACCATATACAACTAAAAAACTACATTTGTGGCAATGATCCATGGAAACTCCAAAGCCAAAACATTAACATTAAAGCCTTGCGGCCTTGGCAAACCCGAGCACATCTTAAAGCCGCATACCCAACAGCAACACTAAGCCAACAATGGATGTGACACAATCAAAACATCTAATATCTAGACCCACCCACAACCTAAACAACATACTGGCTAGCTGATGATTGAAGCCCACGCTTTTTCATTCAAGTGATAGAGTCTTCAAATTGAGAAGTGGGAAAAGTCACTTGAATCTGGATTACTGGCCGTAAATTGATCCCCCAACAATTAAAATCATGGTTGCTTCATGAGCATGGAATAATGCCTGACTTATTGAAGGAATATTAGAGTCAATTCAAAGAATTGAGTGATGATTACGAATGGAATAAATCTGGAATAAATCATTAAAGTTGGTTCATTCATGTGTGGCCACTTTAAAATTACCCACTAATTTATCAACTCACCCAACATAACTTTGGAATTAAAGAGTCATTCCAAAGCATGGAATCATGTTTTAATAACCATAAGAAACATGAATCTATTCTTTGGAATGAGTCATCAAAGTTGTTTCATTCCAAAGTTATGTTGGGTGATTGATACCTTAGTGGGTATTATTTAGAATGGCCACACATAACTTTGGAATGAAACAACTTTACTGAGTCATTCCAAAGCATGGAATCATGTTTTAATAACCATAAGAAACATGAATCCAAGGTTTGGAATGACTCATCAAAGTTTTTTCATTCCAAAGTAACTGTTGGGTGATTGATAACTTAGTGGGTATTATTTAGAATGGCCACACAT